TTGCGCTAGGCTATGCTATGATAGGCTATGCTGCACTATGATATGTTATGCTATGCTAAGCTATGCTATGGCATGATGCGCTGTGCTATGCTATGATATGCTAAGCTATGCTAAGGTGCGCTATGCTATGCTATGATATGCTATGATATGATGCGATGTGCTATGATGCGATGTGCAGTGCTGCGCTATGACATGATATGATAGGCTATGCTATGATATGCTATGCTGCGCTATGCTATGCCATGCTGGGCTATGATATGATATACTCTGCTGCGCTATGCTATGCTAATCTGTGCTATGTTAGACTAAAGCTCAGCGAAGCTAAGATGAATGTAAGCTAAGCTAAGATAAACCTGATCTACGCTGAAGCTAAGCTAAGCTAAGATGAAATAAGCTAAGCTAAGATGAGATAAGCAACGCTAAGCTAAGGGGGCGTAACTGGGGGAACCGCGGGGCGGATGCCGGGGGAACCGCCCGGGGCGGTTTACATTGCCCGGCCCTTTAAGCCAAGAGGGCAAGAACCTTCTAGGCAGAGCCTAGGTAGGGAATGATGCCGTTCATCGCAAGCAGCGGGGTCCGTGCATTCGGAGCGTCGGTCCTCGAAGGTTTCAATGAGTTAGTGTGTTCTCGGTCCGCAAGCGCCTTCAGAGCGGATGCACCCCGCTGGAAAAGGGGTGTCTTTAGATGAGGCTCGGGCCCCCATCGATAGCCACCCGTGAGACATGGGCGTATCATTCGGAGCGGCAGAGAAGGAGGCCAGACCGCCATGTCGGCCAGAGCCCTTTTTCGGTCCCACGGGCCCCTCCGTCGGTCAGCCTGGAGTTGGTGCTCAAAGGTTTCGGTTTCTCGCCGCGAGGTGCTGCTGAGGAACAAGGGAAGGGGCCGTGGAAGCCCGTGCTGCAGCCCACGCGCGACTTGCGCGGGCAGATCCAGTGGCCGCGGCTGGAGAGCTCGGTGAATGGCATTTGGGGGGCGGGGTGCCCTGTCGGCTGGGCCGTGGGCCGTGGGGATGGAACCCTCGGCAGGCTTGAAAAAGTCTCCTTGGATGGGCACCCCATCACCAGTTTTCTTCTCTCCCCCTGGACCTCTTCCCTCTAAGGTGGTTGAACCTCTTCTTCCCCTCCCCATGCACCTCATTGCACCTCTTCCTCCGCCGCCCCCTCCTCCTCCTTTTCTTCCTCTTCCTCCTCCTCCTCCCATTCCTGCCCAAACCCTTTTGCTCCTCCTCCTCCTCCTGCTCCTCCTCCTCTTCCTCTTCCTCTCCAGACCGTTTTGCTCCTTGTCCTCCTCCTCCTTCTCCTCCCCTTCTCCTCCTCCTGCTCCTGCTCCTCCTCCTCCATTTCCTCCTCCCCATCCTACTCCTCCTCCTCCTCCTCCTCCTCCTCCTCCTCCGGCCGAAAGAATAGGAGACGACAGAGGCGGACCAGCAAGCAACCGCAGGGGGCGAGACAGTTCTGATTTAGAGATGGAACCGACTCGGGCATAGGCGGGCGGCGCCGACGAGACAAGACACGACCCACAGGCCTTTTTCCGCCACTGCGTGCCCGAGCCAGCGCAGCTGGCGAAAGCAGTTGAGAGGGCAAGGAGAGGAGGGAGGAGGCAGGAGAGAGCCGGAAGGAACCGTGAGTCCGGGGAGATGGGCGCGCGGCGGGGAGGTGCGCGCCACCAGACAACCCCTTAGGCGCGCGCGCGCGCTCCCGCTGGAGGCACGGAGCGGGAAAGGAGGGGGGAGCAGGAGGAGGAGCGAGGGGAAAATTATCTTGGTGCACGTGTTGGTGGGGAAAGAAGCAGACAGCAACGCAGAGGAGGAGGCATGTTCTAGGAGGCGCAACAGAGAGGCGAGGGCGACCTCCTCCTCCTCCTCCTCCCCGTGCTCCCTTTTTCCTTATGCATAATTCTTCCCTGTCACACTCCGAGGCCAGATACTAGGAAGGGTCAGGCGTTTCGCCTGAGACTTCCTCACAATTTATGTGTCTGGTGGGAAAAAAAAGGTGACAACGGTTTCACAAATGGAGGGCGGGTAGTGTTCAACAAGTAGCTTTCGCCTTAGCGCCGCGCGCATTCGTTGTACAACATTCAAGAGTTTCATGGATTGAAGGCGGGGTGTTTTCATAATGTGGTTATCGCCGTAGCGCCGCGCACATTCGTTTAAAACAATTGCAAGAGCTTCATGTATTGAAGGCGGGTGGTATTCATAATCTGGTTTTCGCTTTGGCGCCGCGCACATTCGCTGTAAACGGATGCAAGAGCTTCACGGATTGAGGGTGGCTCCTCTTCGAAATGTGGTTCTCGCATCAGTACCGCGCACATTTGTTTTAAACATTTGGAAAAGCTTCACGGTTTCCCATGATCAATGTACCAGACATGTTGTTTGGGAAGGATTCTGGATTTTACGGGTGCAACAATTATGTTGGTTCGCGGTGTTGAAGTGTTCAAAATGGCGTTTTGGGCGGATTCAGGATTGTCAAGACGCAGCAGTCAGGTTGATCCGTCGCGTTGAAATCCCGAGAACAATGTTTTGGCATGTTTCGGGGTTTTCAATCGGTTGTCTTCCAACGAGGCAGTTCCCTCAATGGAAATGAACCGCTGTAGAGGCATATGCAGAGGGAGCTTGGAGGGAGAGTGAATTCCAACATCGTTGATGACTCTTGGGTTTACACGTCCTCCTCCTCCTCCTCCTCCTCCGCATCATCCTCCTCTTCCTCCTCCTCGCCCTCCTCCTCCCCACCTTCCGGCATCTGCCCTCATCGTTCCTCCACCTCCTCGCCCCTCCCCTTGGTGCCCTCGCCCCTGCCCCATTTCGCTCCCTCGGGTCTTCGCGATCGGGCCCGCGGGAGGACGACGGCGCAGAGGCCGCGGACGCACCCACGCGGCAGCAGCAGCAGCAGCAGCAACAGCAGCAGCAGCAGCAGCCAGCCAGTCCGGCGTGGCGCGGCGCGATGCCCCAGCGCCTTGCGGCCATCTCGCCCGGGAGAGGAGCCGATCAATAGGGGGATGGAAGGGCGAGATGGAAGAGGGGGGTGAGGAGAAGGAGGAAGAGGAGGAAGAGGAGGAGGAGGGGGGTGAGGAGAAGGAGGAAGAGGAGGAGGAGGAAGAGGGGTGAGGAGGAGGAGGAGGAGGAGGAGAAAGAGGAGGAGGAGGAGCATGAGGAGAATCGTCCACGCGCAGAAGAGGGGTAGGGAGAGGGGGTCGGCTTCTCAGAAACACTCTTCTTCTTAGAAGGCGCGGGCCTTGTCTGCAGATGTGTGGCCGGCACCTTCTAAGAAGCAGCCGCCTTCTAAAAAGCCTTCCCCCCACCCCGTTTCCCCCCCCCCTCTCCGCGCCGCCAACAAAAGGAGGATGGAAGGGTGAGGAGGAGGAGGAGGAGAAGGAGGAGGAAAAGGAGGAGGAGGAGGAAGAGCAGGCAGAGCAGGAGGAGAAGGAGGAGGCATGGCGCGCTAGGTTCGCTAGGCGCACTGGCAAGAACTATTGTTTTCGCCATGGGGGAGCCTAACAAAACTGGAGGGGCCCACATTTACCAGCGGTTTCAAATCGTGTGGTCGGGTTTCTAGGACGTGGAGTAGGCCACGGACGGGGGGAAATGTGAGGGGAGGGAAGGGGGGAGGGGAGGGGAGGAGGATGGGAAGGGGGAGGAGTGAAAGGATCGTCGGGTTCGCCGATGCCGTCGTTGAGATGGCGTCAGCCCCGTTATCTTCATCACGGTCTTGATTAAGTCCGTGGAATTGGTTCTTTTTCCAGCACTGGTGTCGGGCCATGTCAGTTGCCGACCACTAGCTTGTCCACGTCTGTGTTTTCCACGTGAGCCGTCTCGGACATCGCAGGTTTGGGGTAAGTTGCTAAACAATTGAGTGTGCGATATCTGTCGATATCGAATTGTTTCGAGTCTTATGAGCTCGCAAGTAAACCAGACTATCTTCCGAAACGCTGGTCGATTTGGGCCCTCAGAGCCCAAAAGGTTGCTGGGCCGCTGGGAGTGCACATTGTTGCCTTCCACTGCTCGCTGAGCCGTCTCAGACAGATGTTATACATGTCCCCAGCCGGAATACATGACATAAGAAGCACCAACAACATTACCACAGTGCCGTCTTCGGCATCTAACACTTGTCTGCAGAAGCTCTTAGCACGCACGGTCCGATGTTTCGTTGCCGACTTTGTTCCGATGGTCTTCCTTTCCGCCGATTGCGGCACCAGACAATGTAATGTATGCGTGATGAAAGGCTTTCCAGGTAAGCGTGCGAAATCGGGTCGGTGGCTTGCTTTAAACCGTCTCACGCAGTCCTCTTTGCGTTTCTTGGTGCTCAGCTGGTCGTCGTCGTCTGCCATTGCGCAGCGTCCGGTTCTCGTGTGGGCCTCAATGCGATTGTATGTCGCCGCTTTCGTTAGGCGGTCGCTAATGTTGGCTTCAGAATGGCCCCATCGAGCGTCCAAGCCTGTCTCCTCAACCTTTTTCCCAACCAACCTGTGTTGTTGGGTCCTCGTTTTGAAGAGACGGTCCCCGCGTTCCTTCCTCCCTCCTTCCTCCTTCCTCCTTCCTCCTCCTCCCTCCTTCCTCCTCCTCCCCTTCCTCCCCCCTCCTCCCCCTCCCACACCCATTCTGGCCCCATAGGGAGCTCCACCGAAGGCCCCAGTGGCTGCGCCCGCATGCGGTTCCACACCCCATTCTGGCACACCCCTCACACGTTTCGTAGGGAGCTCCACCGAAGGCCCCAGTGGCTGCGCCCGCATGCGGTTCCACCCCCCATTCTGGCACACCCTTCACACGTTTCGTGGCCCCATAGGGAGCTCCACCGAAGGCCCCAGTGGCTGCGCCCGCATGCGGTTCCACCCCCCATTCTGGCACACCCCTCACACGTTTCGTGGCCCCATAGGGAGCTCCACCGAAGGCCCCAGTGGCTGCGCCCGCATGCGGTTCCACCCCCCATTCTGGCACACCCCTCACACGTTTCGTGGCCCCATAGGGAGCTCCACCGAAGGCCCCAGTGGCTGCGCCCGCATGCGGTTCCACCCCCCATTCTGGCACACCCCTCACACGTTTCGTGGCCCCATAGGGAGCTCCACCGAAGGCCCCAGTGGCTGCGCCCGCATGCGGTTCCACCCCCCATTCTGGCACACCCCTCACACGTTTCGTGGCCCCATAGGGAGCTCCACCGAAGGCCCCAGTGGCTGCGCCCGCATGCGGTTCCACCCCCCATTCTGGCACACCCCTCACACGTTTCGTGGCCCCATAGGGAGCTCCACCGAAGGCCCCAGTCCGCATGCCGGCACACCCCTCACACGTTTCGTGGCCCCATAGGGAGCTCCACCGAAGGCCCCAGTGGCTGCCGCATGCGGTTCCACCCCCCATTCTGGCACACCCCTCACACGTTTCGTGGCCCCATAGGGAGCTCCACCGAAGGCCCCAGTGGCTGCGCCCGCATGCGGTTCCACCCCATTCTGGCACACCCCTCACACGTTTCGTGGCCCCATAGGGAGCTCCACCGAAGGCCCCAGTGGCTGCGCCCGCATGCGGTTCCACCCCCCATTCTGGCACACCCCTCACACGCTTCGTGGCCCCATAGGGAGCTCCACCGAAGGCCCCAGTTCGTGGCCCCATAGGGAGCTCCACCGAAGGCCCCATGGCTGCGCCGCATGCGCCCCCCCCATTCGGCACACCCCTCACACGTTTCGTGGCCCCATAGGGAGCTCCACCGAAGGCCCCATGGCTGCACGTGGGCACACCCCTCACACGTTTCGTGGCCCATAGGAGCTCCACCGAAGGCCCCAGTGGCTGCGCCCGCATGCGGTTCCACCGCCCATTCTGGCACACCCCTCACACGTTTCGTGGCCCCATAGGGAGCTCCACCGAACGCCCCAGTGGCTGCGCTCGCATGCGGTTCCACCCCCCCATTTCGGCACACCCCTCACTCGTTTCGTGGCCCGGGGGCGCCACCGAGGAATATTTCCACAATTGCGGTATTCACAACTACGTATGGTTGGGTCTTTCGTCAGGCTAATTTCGTGGCCTTACGGCGGGGACGACGACGGCGGCGGCGCCGACAACGACGCTATCGCTCTGGAGTGCATCCTGGGGCCCTCTTGCCTTGGGCTCTGTTGGGGGCCTCTTGGCGGACATTCTTGGGACGCTCCGTGGCTACCTCGGAGCGGATCTGAGGGCTCGTGGAGGCATTTGGGAACATACGCAGCACCCCGCAACAGCAGATTGTCCACAAGGGTGAAATCGGGCGTGTCCCTCTACAGGAGGAGTATTCAAAAGCAGTAAGAAAATAGTGCGGGGACGATGTTTCAAACTATGTTTGACAATTTTGAATCACTTTTGGGATATACTTCACATTTCGTCCACAATCCGCCTGTAGGGGGACATGCCCGATCTAAAACTCGGGGGTGGATAGACCTCCTACCCTGACACGTCGATTAGCGAATCGGTCGTTTTCGGGTCGCGACAGGGCGCCGCGGCCGTAATTCTTGCGGGTCCAGGTCCGTCGGCTTCGGCCCCAGGCCGTTTTCTCCAAGGGGAGGTTTGCTGAAGGGAGGTTTGTCCACCGCTGAAAAACAAGGGGGAGGCAGCGAGGGGGTGGGGTTTGAGTTCCCCCTGTCCCCAAGGGGTACCCCCCCCTGTCCCCCTATGTCCACCGCAGGGGACCCCGCGGGGGGGGGGTCACGACCCCTGCCCCCCCCCCCGGGCCTCGTTCCGATGACTCCGATTCGATTCGATTCGGTGTCGATTGCTCCCGATGCCGAATCGATTCGATTTGGGATTCCGAGTTGGGTTCCCACATGGGGATTCTATTCGGGATTTGGGTTCCGATTCGGGATTTCGATTACTCCGATTCGATTCGATTTCGATTTCGATTTGGAGGCATACAAAAGCCCGCCACTTCCCGCCGATGCGATTTCCCCCAGCTCGGCTGCCGATGTCGGCCGATCCGATTCATCTCGATCGCCGATGCGACTCATCGATTCGATTGCAGGCTCTCCTGCCCCCCCGATGACCAGCGCGAGACCAAGTACTTATCGAACGCCACGAGCTCCAACACCGTTCGTTGCTCCTCCAGGCCCTGCATCTGCACTTGCTTGGCGAGACAATCGCAAATGCTGCTGAGGTTCACGCGCCGACGTGCACGCACTTCTCGACTGCATTCGACCATGGGCCGTAGCTCTCGTCCGACACTGGCGCTTCAAGCCCTCGCATTTGACGCGAGCCCATTCAAGTCGGCCCACACCGTGCGTAACATGAACAGCTCGTCTTCGGCCACCGTGAGCGCCTGCGCTTCGACTGCCAGCGAGCTCAATTGCAACTCGTAGCAGTTTCCCATGGTGATGGGATACCCAGCCATCAGGCGTCCGCTTGCTTTTCAATATCCTCTCTGGTACGATCGCGATCACATAGCCCCCAGACGACGGTCCGTCTGGTGTGCTGGCTCATTTTGCGCATCGTCGTTGATTGGTTCGAAGGTCAGTTTGTATTGTGCATCCAGCTTCATCTGTCGGACAATCTTGCTGTTACTTAATAGCGTCTCCCCCGCCGTCGCGGGTCCGCTAACTTCTCCACGACTGAACACCGCCAGGGTGTGTCTGCGTCGTTACCGAGGAGGGGGAGGATGGGTGGAGGAGGAGGAGGAGGAGAAGGAGGAGGAGGAGGAGGGAACGAGAACCAGAACGAGCGATCCGGTGTAGCCGAGAAAGCACACAATGCCACCCACTGAGCTTGTCGAAACGCCTGACGAACAGGAAGGCGAAGTAAGAGGACAACTAGCAAAAAGGAGCCCTAGGACATGCGACCCGATGACCAGGTAATACGTGAGTTGGTTGCGCGACACGTGCAATGAGCCCACAGCCACATACGGATGAAGACCTCATTGAACCAAACGAGAAAAACAGCAGGCTAGATTGAGATGGGTCCAACCCGATACGGCTCATACCAAGTCACTTCAGATCAACGGGCAACTTCGAAAGATGTCGTCTTGCTCACAAACAGCCTCGCAATTGCCAGAGCAAATCGAGGAACTTCTTTCCTCCATACCTGTCCACGTTGAACGACCGTGACACTACGCACGAGACTACTGAAACACAAATCACGGAAAGCCATTCGACCGAAGCACATATGATAACAGTGTTGCAGCGTAAAACGTATCACCCAATCCCATTGGGACCACGATGTGTTGATGCAGGTCCCACCCAAGCCGACAAATCGAAGGCGAAATTCAAAACAGTGAAAACAAATGCCATTTCTTAAGGCTCGGCTCAGAATACGGATGGCCGGCGCGTCCCCATTCCACGAGTCAAGAAAGCGCCAAGCACTTACAGCAAAATAGTTGAATACGAACTGAAATACTGCCACAACTGCTTTTTGCCACCGCTGGCCCATGACAGCAATGAACGTGACATCACGCCGATGAGCCGCGTCTTTCTCCCACCTGCCTGCCCGCTGCCACCAAAAGCTCTTCTCGCGCGCACTGATCCGAGCATTCAATCGGCTTCACTGCCTACCCATCTGGCCCTGCAGCGAGAAGCCGCTGCCTCTGATTGCTCTTCTAAAGAAATCGTTGTTGATGATGACGGGCGTCGCACGTTTCGGCCCCAATATATTGTTCGGCCACGTCTGAGCATCCCAACTCTGCTCGCCATGTTCGCGCCCAGTGCGGTACTGTAAATGATGATGACAGAGTCCGATGTTCCAAACGTGCGCACCAACAACATAATTCGAAAACAGACTGAGCAAAGCAGAAGTCATCCAGACCATTCACCACGAGTATCCCCTCACCACGATTTAGCCAACCCTAACGACTGCGCACAAGGCCCAGATGACGAGTTGCCACTCAAGCGCCACGTTGAGGCATCGAGGTGCGGCTCATGGCCAAGCGACAAGCCAAAAGGGACCAACGGACACGACGGAGCCGCATATGCTTGAGATGAGGACGAGGAGTTTCAAGCGGAGGAGGGGAAGGAGGAGGAGGAGGAGGTAGCTTGGTCGCTATCCAGGAGAAGGAAGAGGGAGGAGGAGGAAGAGGGAGGGAGGGAGGGAGGGAGGGAGGGAGGAGGAGGAGGAGGCGGAGGAGGAGGAGGAGGAGGAGGAGGAGGCGGAGGCGGAGGTCGGGTCGGGTCGGGTGGAGGGCGGGCTCCGGAGCCCGCCTGAGCCGGCGCGCCGGCTGCCGCTCAGCGAGTCATCCGGACGGATGCCCGCTCTCTAAAACTTGCAGAGGGCCAGCGTGCCAACCAGGGGCACCACGGCTCAGCCCTACAGCCCGCGCGGGCCACAAGACAGAGCCCCCAGCTTTCCAAGCCGAGTCCAAGCGTGGCGACGAAGAGGCAGCCGACCGAAAACACAAACCAAAACGACGGGCCAGCGGGCCACTCAGGGGCATCACGGCTCTACCCCACAGCCCGCCTGGGCCGCAGTGTAGAGCCCCCAGCCTTCCAAGCCGAGTCCAACCGTGGCAACGCTGGAGCCCCCGGCCGAAAAGCCGACAGGACGGAGACACCGCGGGCCGGCTCATTGCAGCTTCATGAAGCTGCCGTCGCGCCGCTCGCACGGCGGGCCTTCTCCTGCAGCAGCTGCTCGATGGTGTGCAGCAGGGCGGCCTGGCACTCCGCCGCCTTCTGGGGTCCGGCCTTCACGAGGATTCCCTCGACCGTGGCCATGCAGGCCTCGAACTCCGTGCGCAATGGGCCCTCCACGAGTTCATCTACTTTGGGCTGCCCATAGCCCTTCCTCACCGCTTCCACGAACTCGGCAGCGAAGCCTGAGCTGGGCGGCCCCTCATGGTCGCGCCCGCCCTTGCCGGCCCCATTCCCGTAGCGGCCCTTGTTGGTCGCGCCACGCGCGGGCCTCGAGCATGCCTCGCTGCCGTTGCTGTTCGCTGCGCTTCCGCTGGCTGCGGCCGGGGCCTCTTTGAGAGCCGCCCCGTGCACGTCCAGCTTGCGCCACTCACGGCGGCCGCCTTTCTTAGGCTTCTTGCTGCCGCCTTGGTCGCATGCGCCCTCTCCGGTCGCTTGCGGCTCGTGCCCAGCCTCTGGACCCTTTGCCGAAGCTGTCGCCGCAAGCGGTGCTGTGGGCTCCTCCTGCACCTGCTCCAGATCGCGCTGCGGCTTGTCAGCGAGAGCGTCGTTCCGCTCCGTCGCCTCGCACAGCGCCGCCTTGGGGCAGTCCTCGAAGAGCTCGAAAACCGTCTCGAGGTCCCATCCCGCCTCGAAGTGCTCGCACTCGCAGAAGTCGTAGTGCACCGCTTTCACCACGTGCCTGTCTGCTTCCTGCTCCAGCCCGGGCCACTTCCCCTGGCCGTCGCGTTCTTCCACTCGGACTGGCTGGCCTCCTCCAGGACCTTCAACTTCTTGCGGAGGTCCTGGGCGACCTTCTTCTTTTTGGCCGGCGAGAGCTGGGCAAGCTCCTCCCGCTCCTGCTGCTCCCGCCACTTGCGCCACTGCCGCGCTGAGAAGTCGCCAGGCTCTTTCATCAGCGTCCCGGCCTCCTTCCCGCCGCGGCTCCACGGCGGCGAGGCTGGACAGGTCGACGACCCTCCCCCGCCACCACGCCAAGGCCGGGCCGCCTCCTCGCGCGTGCGGCTGGGCCCCCTCGGCGGGCTTGCGCTCCTTGCCCTGCGCCTCGGGTGGCCCCGGGCTCCCCGCCCGCGACTGTCCGCAGCTCCTCGGGTGCGGCTGCGAGACCTCGGCGGGCTGCGCGGGAGGGACCGGAGCCTCGCCGCCGCCGTGCGCGAGCGGCTGCGTGCCCGCCCCGGGCTGCGGCTCCTCTCCGCAGAGCCCAGGCGTGTCTCGGGCGAGCCGGCCCGGCGCCGGGGCGGCCCTTCCGCTGCCTTTGCCTGCGGGGCCCTTGGTGCCTCCGCCGGCGTCGCGGGGGCAGCAGGCCCCTCTTGGTCGCTGCCGCTCTTGTCCGCGCTCTCCGAGCCCGCCTCCGACGCTGGCTGCGACTCCAGCGGTTTGGGCGGCTCCCGGAGCCTGGCCACTTCCTCCTTCACCGTCTTCACGAGGGCGCTGCGCAGCTCCTCCTCCAGGTTCCCGACTGCGTAGCCCACGTGCTTCTCGACCAGCCTCTCCAGCTCCTCCTTGAAGGCCGCCCGCAGCTCGAGCGAGCGGGCCTGGGCAAGCGGGCCGGCGGCTTCCCCCTGCGCCTGACCAGGCGCTGGGGACGCGGCTCCTCCTCCCACTGCTGGGCATCTGGCAGCCGCCGCTTCCATCCGCAGCCGCGGCTCGGACGGGCGTGCCGTTCTGAAGTACGCCCGCCCAACCTCCGACCGTCCTGCGCCGGAGCCAGAACGGCTAGGCGGAGGCGGAGGAGGATGAGGAGGAGGAGGCGGAGGCGGAGGAGGATGAGGAGGAGGAGGGAGGAGGAGGAGGAGGCGGAGAGGGAGGAGGAGGTGGAGGATGAGGAGGAGGAGGAGGAGGACGGGGAGGAGGAGGAGGAGGAGGAGGAGGAGGAGGAGGAGGAGGAGGGGAGGAGGAGGCGGAGAGAGAGGAGGAGGGTGGAGGAGGAGGAGGAGGCGGAGGATGAGGAGGAGGAGGAGGAGGAGGAGGAGGAGGAGGAGGAGGGGGAGGAGGAGGAGGAGGAGGAGGGGGGTGGGCGGCGGGACGTGCCCCCCGCATCCCGCTCCAGGAGCGGGCGGCGGAGCGCCGCCGCCCTCGCAGGGACCTCCCGCGGCGGAGACGCCGACCTCCCGCACGGTGAAGAGCAAGGCTCGGCACGGACGAAATGGGTACCGTGACGAACGACCAACACACCCATACCCGTAGGGGGGCTCGGCACGAACGAAACGGGTACAGCGACGAGCGAACGAACAACACACCCATACCCGTAGGGGGGCTCGGCACGAACGAAACGGGCACAGCGACGAACGAACAATAGCACACCCATACCCGTAGGGGGGCTCGGCACGAACGAAACGGGCACAGCGACGAGCGAACAACACTTTGTTTGATCTGCAGGGCGAGAGCGGGCCTCTTCCGCCAAGAGCCCCGCGGGACGCGCACAGCTTTGACTGACAGAGAAGGGGGCGGGAGCAGGCACGAACGAACAACACACACCCATACCCATAAGGGGGCCGTTGGGAGGAGGACTGGCTATGGGTACGGGTGCGGGTTGTCGGACCCTGGGGAACGCACCCGTTCGAGCGGGGACCCCCGTTCGACAACACGCGCCCATAGCCCTCTCCGACCCCCCCATGGGTATGGGTGTTTGTTGTTGTTTCGTCATACAGTGGGGGCGCGCATCAAGAAACCAGCTACTTTTCGTCCGGGTATCCTGGGTTTCTTCGCTCCGCGCGCTGCGCGGTGACTTCCCGCAGCCGTTTGGGAGGTGCTGCCGCGTTCAGAGTGCTCCAGGCTTCCCTTCAGGTGCACCTTGCGCGCGCGGGTTGGGTTTCTTGCCCGGGTTCCCTGCGCATGTTGAAACGGACTCGCTGTCCGCGCCGCCGCGCCCTGTGTCCATTTGGGACAGACGGGCGCCTGCCCAACAGCGGCCGCCCCGCCGTGGGTTTCGGGCAACATTTGTTGCTGGGCATCGTACCCATTTTTCCGTACCACATCTCGGGCGGCCAAATTCTCCTTCCGCCCCCTGGATTTCTGATTAGATTTGTGATGTTCCAGCTTACTTTAGCCTCGACCACCAGGAATAATTTCGAGTGCCAAACAAAATGACAAACAATTCTATGGGTTTCACGTGTCGGGACCTGGGAGGCACTCGCCCGCCACTGTCCCGACACTCTTTTGACGTTTTTTCCGGGTGCTCGATGTTCTTTCTGGGATGTGGACCTTAAGCCGGATGGAAACAGCATAAGGCTCTGGTCGGCGTCCATGCGACAAGCGCGTTCCATTCTCTGCAAAGTAGCTACTCGCCAGATGGCCTGGATCTGCCGCGGGGGATTCACGATCCAGCACATGGAGGAGGACAAGGTGCTTCCCATACGTTTGCGAGTGGGCACTTTGCGAGTCGTGGAGCGCGCTCGGCGATCCGCGTGGGGTCAAACAGTGACATAAATTCGAGAACTCGCAGGTCCGCGCGGATTTCTCGGCTCAGCGTTGGGCCCCTCTGGCGGCGCCTCCGGTGTCGCCCCTGGCGCGCTCCGCGCGCAGAGAGGCCTGGCGCGCTCCGCGCACCGAGCAGAGGGGCCTGGCGCGCTCCGCGCACCGAGGAATCCGCGCGGACTTCCGAGTTTTCATGTTTGTGTTCTTGTTTGCTCCCCTATTCCAAGGGGGGGTTTCGGAGCGGTCCAGGGGGGAATTTCGTGTTCGAGGTCTTCGGCTTTCGGGCGTGTCCGTTGGTTTTCAGGCCTCGGGCCTCGGGATGCTTCCCAGTAGCCGCGCCTCGCCGAGAGACGTCCAGATGTGCCCTTATCGTTCCGAACGGCCGCCAGAGACCTGAGTTGTGACTCGGAAGCCAGACGTCTCATCCTCCTCGTCTCTCGCTTCCACCTGGCTGCCCTCCTCTTTTGTCCAACCCTCCTGCGCTGGGTTCCCGTCCTGAATAGAGCACAGTGGTCTCGTTTTTCTCCTGCTCCTCCTGCGTATCCTCCTGCTCTCCCGCCTCTCTCCGCCTCTTGCCTCCTCTTGCGCTGCTCCCTAGGTGGCCGCTGCGCAACTGCGCACCTGTCGCCACTTTCCCACTTTCCTGGGCTCCTGGGAGGTCCTGCGGAGTCGGGGGCCGCGCGCACCCAGACAGGACCTCGCTGCTCGCTGGGTGGCCGCTGCGCAACTGCGCACCTGTCGCCACTTTCCTGGGCTCCTGGGAGGTCCTGCGGAGTTAGGGGCCGCGCACCCAGGCAGGACCTCGCTGCTCTCTGGGTGGCAGCGGCCTGCGCAATTGTCGCCTTTTCGTAGGCGCCTGGGAAGTCCAGCGGAGTCGGGGGCCACGTGCTCTCAGACGGGACCTCGCTGCTCTTTGGGTGGCAACGAATTGTGCAATGCTTGCTACTTTCGTTGGCTCCTGGGAGGTCCAGCGGAGCCAGGGGCCACGCGCACCCAAACGGGGATTTCGCTGTTCCCTGGGTGGCTGCGTGTTGCGCATATGCCAAGTCGTTCAGGGAGACCGCGGTTGGAAGCAGGGTGGCCTGAGGAAACCCCCAGGGGCTCCCAAAAGGCACCCATGAGTCCTCCAGAAGGCCCCAACAAACCCTCAACACTTTCGTGGGGCCCCCTAAAGGCTCTCCAAGGAGGAGCCGCCGCAAACAGAGCTGAGCAGAGTTTGAAACGAGTCGCAGGTCAGAGCGAGAATGCGGAAGAGGAAGAGGACTGTTGAGGGAACGGCAGCGACTGGCATTCTCATTCAAGAGCCTTGCGCCAGACTGCCGACCCCTCCAAAGGAGGGAGGGACGCATGGAAGTTGTTTGGTGGCGTTTGTTTTTCCTTGCGTGCCTTTGAAGGGGCCTCTTGGAGCGGTCTTAGGGGCATCTGGGTGACCACCGGGGCACTCGCATCCATCTTTGGTGTAAGGGCTCGAAATGCCAGTTCAGATTGCCCTTTCGGGGCCCCTCTGGGGCACGTCTTCTCCGCATTCTCCAACTGTCTGTCCTCCACCTCCTCCACTTCCTCCTTGTTACGCCTCTTCCCTCCATGGCCAGTTTGGTTCAGGGCGGTTTGTTCCACAGGGGAACACGTGAATATTGGTACTCTGCAGCAGGCAAGACTTCTTGAATTTCGGCGGAGTCTTCCATCGCACCTGGCGTTCGGGGCGGTGGGTAGACGGAGGCCCCGAGCGCGTCCATGACCCCCATGGCGAAGGGTGTTGCTCTTGTGCATCGCGGTGGCGAGCGTAGCCCTTGCTGGAAGGGTAGCAGCACGGGTACCAGGGTGTTCAGACCGACGGAGAGACGGGTGGCAAGAACAAGGGTGGAGGAAACAATAAGACTAACCGCTCATATTGCGAGGTATTTGCATCCTGTGGCTATGGGGAAGGGCCATGTCATGGACATGCTGCGTGCTCGAAACACCACGTGGCTTACGGCAGACACGTGCAAGGTGAAGCCCGTCCTTACCCTCTGCGAAAGCTGATGCCGAACTACTGGCGCGTCGGCCTGGTTTGCAAGTCCACATGGCGGGGTTTGCGGTGCAGGACGAGCCCGCCCCCGCCGTGTCGGCAGCCCAGGTGGACGCGGCCGCGGGCATTAAGAAAGCACGCCTGCAAAAGAGGCGCAACAAAAAACAGCTCGCAAGGAACGGCTGCGCCTTCAGGGCGTGAGCAAACAAGGGCAATCGCCGTGCAGATCTGTGAGGATGTTGGAGAGGCGATGGGCCAGTTGCCTGCGGCTGCGGCAGCGCGGGGGCGGGGGGGGGCGGGGGCGGAGTGGAATGGCGCTGACCGCATCATGCGCGAATTGTGGAACGAAGCGGGGTGGAGGAAGCGGGGGAGGAAGCTTCCGAGGCGCCCCGCCCCCCCCCCATCTTCCCCTCCCCCCCCCCCCACCCCCCCCAGCGAATGCCCCCCCCCCTCCCCCCAGGACGCGCGTGATGGCGCAGCCGCCCGACTTGGCCAGCGCGTCAGTGGAGGCACTTCGGCGCTTGTGCGATGAGAAGAAGGTCTCGCGCGGTCTGTGGGGGGCCTTCCGCGCCATGCGCGCGAGCGTCCATCAGTCTGACATTGGCGCGAACATGTCGGATGTGGACAGCGGGGTCAGTGACGTCGGCAATGCTCCAGGATGCGATATACTACGCGCGTGCCGAAAAAAAACGAGGGCGCGCAACCATTCTCGACGAGGAGGGGATCGGGCGCCTCGGGGAGCTGCTGCTGGGAAGGGCGGATGCCAAGGCAGCCGAGCGGCCCACGGCGGCGCGGGGTGGTTTCAGCAAGCAGTTCGAGAAGGCGTCGTCGGCAGCAGTGGCCCCCGTGCCCGCGCCCCCGCTTTTCGGGTAGCAGCGCGGGCCAGCGAGGCATGCGGGCGGCGATCGGCGAGACGATCGGGCTGCCGATGAAGTCATTGCAGGGCGCCCGCGGTCTCAGCAACAGGGCCGAGCTCGCGTGCTTCCGCGTTACTTCCTGCTCTGGGATTGTCATGGGTTGTTCTCCCACAGGGCCGCGCGGTGGCGGGCGTCCCCGTTTCTTTGTTGTCGTTGTTGTTTCGAGCGCAGTTTGCAGGGCCGCGCCTTTCCAGCGGCCGAGAGGGGGCGCTTTGCCGTGGACTTTCGGTCGCGTTTCCGGTCTGGCGCTCCAGCTGGCGGGGGCGGGGCGCTCGCGGGGGGTGGGCCTCGCTTGCCGCGAGGGCGCGCGCGTTGGGCAAGCGCTGGCCCGAGCGGCGCAGGTCGGGCAAAGGTCGGATGCCCCTCAGATCATGCGGTCTCTCGCCACGGGGTGCCGGGTGGGCATTTGTTTTCGAGAACGGAATTCCTGGGTCTGTTCAGGCTTTGTCGATATCTTGGCCGTTGATATGAGACTTCGACATTGAGGCCGAAACGAGGAAACAGCGCGGCCGTACTCATCCGGAGTTTGCGCGGGTAGTTGTGCCCAGAGATGCTGAGTTCATGTGCGCGGCTGGGCATGGCTCGCTGATCTACTGCGATCTGGTTGTTAGTGAGTTGGCGCCCCATGCGAGGATCAGCCACTTCGGGGCCCCGCTGTGTGAGTCTCACAGTTGCCTCCGAATCCAGATTGCAAATGAGATTGTTCAGCAG